AAAGAAAGAAGGAAAGAAGGAAGGAGAAAGGAAGGAATGAAGGAAGGAAGAAAGAAAGAAAGAGAGAGAGAAAGAAAGAAAGAAAGAAAAAGAAAGACAGGAAGGAAGGGAGGAAGGAAGGAAGGAAGGAAGAAAGAAAGGAAGAAAGAGAGAGAGAGAAAGAAAGAAAGAAAGAAAAAGAAAGACAGGAAGGAAGGGAGGAAGGAAGGAAGGAAGGAAGGAAGAAAGAAAGGAAGGAAGGAAGAAAGAAAGAAAAAAGGAAAAAAGAAAGAAAGAAAGAGGGAGGGAGGGGAGGGAATAGCACCCTTTGCCAGTCAGTGTTGGATCACACCTGCAATCGGAGCTACCCAGGAGAATGAGATCTGAGGATTTTGGTTCAAAGCCAACCCCAGGCAGAAAATTCCTCTTATCTCCAAATAGCCAGCAAAAACCTGAAAGTGGGACAGTGGCTTAAATGGTAAAGTGCCAGCCATGAGCAAAAAAGCCAAGTGGTACTGTGAGGCCCTGAGCTCAAGCCTTAGACCCAGCACACCTCCACCCCCCACCCCCCCCAGAAAAAAAAAAAAGAAAAAAAAAAGTAGCATACTTTATTGGAGACAGAATCTACTTGGCTGACATAAAAAGAGGCTTCTTTCTTCTCCCATGACATACTGGTTAAGGTTTCAAATCAAAATGACCCTCAGTCATTTTGTCCTTATGGGTAAGCTCTAGAATCTTGAGCAACTGAATTCTGTTTCTGTTTTCCTTGTGTATTAGAGTTGATAAAACCCATATTAGAGGGATGTTCTGTAAAGATAAGGTGGTAGAGGTGTGGCTCAAGTGGTAGAGCACTTGCCTAGCACATGTAAGCCCCTGAATTCAAACTTCAGTACAGGAAAAAAGTAAATAAGTAAATAAAACCAATAAAACCAAGAATATCTATGTATTTTTACTGTATAATAATATATATTATATACATATATTATTATATATATTTTATATATATTATTATATATATAATAATATATATTCTTATTATCATTAAGTAGTTGTACAAAAGGATTTCAATTCAACACATCAGTTTATAAGTACAGTGCGTCTTGATCAATGTCACCCTTCTATCATTCTCCCCATCTTACCCAACCCCACCTGTCCCCTCAAGTTACATGGTTCTATTTTTACATATGTACATTAAATACAATGACTGTACTTGTCCATCTTTCCTAAGTCCTACTCCTGGCTCTCCCCCCCTTCCCCAGCGGGGTCCCCTCCCCCCTCCATTTCCTATGAGTGGATTTTTTGTTCTCTGCCCTATTTCTCAGGTAGCAGAAGTCTAATCCCATCAGTGCAGGCCCTGCCTGCTCTTGTCCTGGAGTAGTCCCAAAATGAGGCATTTATAGAATTCCTTGGCTTTTGAAGTATCATGTAGGCATCTGATGGAGATCTCTATCTTGTGATCCTGCTGGCTCATAGTGACAGAGTAGCCTCCCTTCTTGTTCTATTTACAATGCCTTTGAGATCCACAGATGTGCAGGGCCACATCTGTGTCACTCTTGGATGTGTAGGAAACCCACTTGGGTATTAGGCCATGTGAGGATCTTTAAACTGTGTTGGCTCTGCCTGTCACTTTTTAGGGTTTACACTGAAAAGGGACACAAGTGATTCTTTCCGTAACTCCTGCCCCCACTGATCCAGATAAGCTGATCTGCCTGGATGATAACTTTTATCCTTCTGGCTTATGTACTATTCATGTCCCAAGTCCTCCTCACAGCTCCAATCTCTATGATCTTGCCATTCAAACATTCTTCCTCAGCTTTTTAAATTCTTTTAAATATTACAATATCCCCTAAAGTAATGAATAACTTCTCTGGCTGAATGGACAAAAGAGAAAGAGGATGGTTGATAATTAATTTACCTTCCCACTGAGCTATATTTTGCTGAGAAAAAAAAAATTTAGCAAGTACAACCGGATGCTCATGGCTCACACCTGTAATCCTAGTTACTCAAGTGGTTGAGATCTGAAAGTCCAGGTTCAGAGCTAGCCCCAGCAGGAATGTCCGTGAGACTCTGATCTCCAACTAACCACCAGAAAACTGGGAATGGAGCTGTGGCTCAAAGTGGTGGAGTGCTAGCCTTAAGAAAAAGAGCACAGGGACATCACCCAGTCCCTGAGTTCAAGGCCTATGGACAAAAATATAAAAGAGAGAGAAAGAGGGAAGAAAGGAAGGAAGGGAGAGAAAGAGAGAGAGAGAGAGAGAGAGAGAGAGTTATTAGTGAAGCTATTGCCCCAGTGGTAGAGCATCAGCCTTCAGTGAAGAAGCTAAGGGACAGTGCCCAGGCCCTGAGTTCAAGCTCTAGTACCAGAGTGAGAATATGTTTTAAATTCTCAGGTGTTGGGACTGGGAAGGTGGCTCAGTGGTAGAGTGCTTGCCTTGCATGCCTGAGGCCCTGGGTTCGATTCCTCAGCACCACATAAGCAAAAAGAAAAAAGCCAGAAGTGGCGCTGTGGCTCAAGTGGTAGAGTGCTAGCCTTGAGCTGAAGAGCTGAGGGACAGCGCCCAGGCCCAGAGTTCAGGCCCCATGACCAGACCCTAAAATAAAATAAAATAAAATAAAAATAAATAAATTCCCAGGTGCCTCTGTGTGTTCTGTCTCCTCCTATGTTCCCAGAGGAGCACTGGCCCTGCCCGTGGAAGGTATAAGTGCTGGAGATTCTGCTGGTTTTGCTAAAATGGTGCTTTCCTAGACCAACCACTGCTGCCCCCCCTGTGCCCCATGCAAAGGGCCCAGGGGCATGGGTCCTCCTTGACCGGTTGTCTTTTTTGGTCCCACCTCATCAGCACCCCCATTGAGCATGCTCCGGTGTGCACCAGCCAGGCCGCCACCCCACTGCTGCCCGCTTCTGCCCAGCCGCCTGCTGCTGCCTCTCCCAGTGCAGCCTCGCCACCCCTGGCTGCAGGTGCTGCCCATGCTGCCACCGCCTCTGCTACAGCCCCTGCCTCAAGCCCTATGGATGGTCCAAGGTAATTGGCCTGCAGGTGTCTGCCATCACTATGGGAAAGGAAAGCAGAAACGGCCTCACCCTGGAACCATCTTCGAACAGCTTGGGCCCATTGGTTGGTGTCCTGCAGAAATACAAGCAAGCCCAGAAAGGGCAGTCATTGGCTTCATTCAGCCAGAACTTGGCACAGAGACAGAGCAAGTGTGCACAGCCCTTAAGTCTGAGATCTTGGTCCCTATGACTATTTTATCTCTGCCTTGACTGAGGCAGCTCCTAGATCCTCTCAGTGCTTGGCGGTAGGTTTTGTCCTTGGGCTATTCCTGGCCAGAGCCCTAGAGAGGTAGCATCTCTCCTCCTATAGTTCTGCAGGGTTGGGTACTGCACCCATGGGGAGCAGGTAGAAGGAACACAGGAAGCCAGAGGCCAGGAAAGGTCAGTTTCTAGGAGTTCACTTCTCCACACCCCCCCAACCTATAACCCATTTGCCTTGGGTGTTGATTGTGTGTTCGCTTTAGGATCTGAAAGATGCAGAGACATGTTCTGCAAGGTGTTCATTAATTTTAAGTGAAGAAAGGGGTTTCAAAAACAAATGGAATTGAGAAACATGGAGTCAGACAAGATTAAACAAGCTACTGAACTCTAGAGTTCCTGGAACTTTCAGCTCCTCAAGACAGAGGCCAAGTTCAGCATTTCCTGAGGGCAATGAACTAGGACACATTTTCCCCCATCCATTTGCTCCCATGGTTTCTGGGCCACATGTGGAGAGAGGCTGTTCAAGTCAGTGGGAAGAGGCAGCAGGAATTCTCCAAGTGGACCGGATTTGCTTGGGAGAGCTGCTAGGAGCCTCATGGCTTCTTCCTCTGAACCCTTGCTGAAGCATTCTTGCTCAGAAACCTGAGACCATTGCATGGACCAGCAATGACAAAATAATAGGACCCAGACACCAATGTCTCACACCTATAATCCTAGCTACTCAAGAGGCTGAGATTTGAGGATTGCAGTTTGAAGCCAGCCCTGGAAAGAACATTTGTGAGACTCTAAGAAGCAGAAAGTAGAGCTGGAGCTCAAATAGTAGAGCAAAAAAGCTAAGGGGTCAGCACTTACGCCCTGAGTTCAAGCCCCATGACCAGCACAGAGGAGCGACAGACAGACAGATAGACAGATAGACAGACAGACAGACAGACAGACAAGAAGTAGGAAGAAGAGGCCAGGTGGTGGAGGCTTTGAAGTCCATGGAAGTATTGGGGAATGGAGGACCAGGTAACTCTAACCACATCTATTTCCCTCCTTTTCCCTCCTTCTGCCTCCATCCTGGATCCCACCACAGCATGGCAGTCCTATGGGGGAGTAAAGGCTAGGACCTTTTCTCCTTTCCCTCCAAAGGTGGTAGGACTAAGCACAGGGTGTAGTTCCCTACTCCTGCAAGATTCTGACTTCTTCACAGCTTCTGGCATCTCCCCCAAGAATCTTTTTTTCTTTTGGTCAGTCATGGGGCTTGAACTCTGGGCTTGGGCACTGTCCTGCGATCTTCAGCTCAAGGTAAGCACTTTACCACTTGAGCCACAGTGCCACTTCTGGTTTTCTAGTGGTTTATTGGAGATGAGTCTCACAGACTTTCTTGCCCAGGCTGGCTTTGAACCGTGATCTTCAGATATCAGCCTCCTGAGTAGCTAGGATTACAGGTGTGAACCTCTGGTGCCCAGGTTCACCAAGAACCTTTTGGTGTGTGTTCCTGTAATGGGGCTTGAACCCTGGGCCTCACACTTGCACTCAGCTGGCGCTTTAACCTTTGAGACATACCTCCACTTAGTCTTTTTGGTTAATTGGAGATCATTCTCAGATTTGCCATCTGGGCTGACCCTTGAAATCAGATCTCAGCCTCCTGAGTAGTTAGGAGTATAGGTGCAAGCCCAAGTATATTTCTATCAGAATTCCTCCTCGTGGAGGCTTCTGGAGATCAGGGAGCCAGTTTGCCATGGCTGCCAGGTCCCTGATGGTAACTCTTTCCCCTTGGTTCCAGGCCAGGCTCTGCCTACAGCTCTTCAGCGGCTGCCTCTCCAGCACCAGCTTCTCATACAAGCTACAGCGAAGGTCCAGCTGCACCTGCACCCAAGCCCCGGGTTGTCACCACTGCCAGCATCCGGCCTTCTGTCTACCAGCCAGGTGAGAAGCAGAATGGGAGGGAAGGCTGTCCAGGCTGCACAAAGGGTGAGCTCTCAGGTCACATCTCCTGAAGAATGGTGGCCAGTGAGGCCCTGCGGTTGAATCTCAGCCCTTCTGAAGCCATTTGTGGACAAGAATTCTTTGCAGCCTGTATCTGGCCTTAGAAGACAGGTAGACAGTGCCAGGTAGGGATGGGATCTCCTAGCTCTTAAAAGTGATGTTTCAGGGTTTGGAGGCATGGCTTAGTTGATAGAACACTAGCCAATGAGCAAAAGAGGCAGGTACTAAATTCGAATCTTGGTCTTGGACCTAAAAAGTAGAAAAAAGAAAAGCAAAGAAAGAAGCAGATGTTCCTGGCTGAAACATTTATGTTCAAGGTGAGCATTAGAAGGTTTGGAGGAATGAGTAAGGGAAAAAAGTACCATTCCTCCATGAATCTGGGTCTGGCTCAAGCTAGAAGACAGGTTGCTGTCACAAAAAAATGTCACAGGTGTGGGACTTACTGCATCACAGGGGAATCTTTTTTTTTTTTTTTGGGTCCGGTCGTGGGGCCTGAACTCTGGGCCTGGGCGCTGTCCCTCAGCTCTTCAGCTCAAGGCTAGCGCTCTACCACTTGAGCCACAGCGCCACTTCCGGCTTGTTTATTTTTGTTTATGTGGTGCTGAGGAATCGAACCCAGGGCCTCAGGCATGCAAGGCAAGCGCTCTACCACTGAGCCACCTTCCCAGCCCCTCACAGGGGAATCTTAACTGTTCTGTCTGTTTTGTGGTTCTGTGGTTCCTAAGCAGAGGCAGTAAATCTGCAGGTACATGGCCTGCTCAGGATGGGTCCAAGCACAACTCACTGGCCTTTCTGAGCTCCCGTCTTCGTCAGTGCCCAGGGTGGCCTAGCAGGGACAGCAGAGTTAGCCCATGTCCCCTTGCCTTCCTAGCCAAACTTGGGTCTACTCTCTAAAGCCCAAGGGCAATTATTTAAGCTAATATGAAGCCTACGTTTCTGTGCCAGTTGGTATTCCTGGCATCCCCTCTTTCCCATTGGATTCTGACTCTGAACTCTAGCAGAGCAGGGCTATGGTGGATTTTTCCCCCTTAGTACCTGACTTGGGCCTGGTATGAGGAGATATAAAGCAAAAGCAAAGAAAATGGAAGAACAGGACTAGAAATGTAGCTCAATGGTAGAGGACTTACCCAGTATGCTCAGGGTCCTGAGTGTGTGTGTATGTGTGTGTGTGTGTGTGTGTGCGTACGCATACGCATGCATGTAAGTGCTGGTCCTGGCGCTTGAATTCAAGGCCTGAATGCTGTCTCTTAGCTTTTCTGCTCAAGGCTAGTGCTCTGTCACTTGAGGCACAGTTCTACTTCTAGCTTTTTGGTGGTTAATTGGAGATAAGAGCTTCACTGACTTTCCTGCCCAGGCTGGCTTTAAACCACAATCCTTCTGATCTCAGCCTCCTGAGTAGCTAGAAGGTGTGAGCCACCAGCACTTGGCTAGACTTTTTTTTTAAAGAGCAGTTTTAGATTTATAGCAGAACGAAGTGTGGAAGGTACAGCAACTTCCATGTCCTTCCTGCCTGGCATAGACACACATGGTAAACTGATGAAGACAGGAAATCTGCAGACTTGTCTGGGAAGGAATGAGGTGGGTCATTCTAAGGAAGAGGGAAGGGGCACAGAGAAAGCCTTCTGTGCATGAGTGTGAATTACCCAGGAGCCAGAGGTTAAGAGCAACACTTGAACATCTAGACTCTGGGGCATGTCCTGTTCAGGCACAAGAGAGACTCCACTGAGTTTTTCTCCTGGGGATGGGGCACAGAGGAGCTTGGCCCGGTAAGGCCTTGTCTGGGGGAGATTGAGCTTGGCCTATGGGGCAGAGGTGCCATGATCAGTCCTCAGTTTTATAAAACTCATTCTGATCGCAGTGTTGAGAGTGCAGGAAATACTTTAGTATCAGATTGACAATTCCCAGGCTGCTCTGGAAAGTAAATCTACCCCATCTCTCAGACTCCAACTTCCTCATCTGAAAAATCAGGATGTGTGTGTGTGTGTGTGTGTGTGTGTGTGTGTGTGTGTGTGTGTGTTCATGTATGCCAAGTGCAGCAAGTTTTGAAGTTAAAACTCCAGGGGCTGGCCAGACACCGATGGATCATACCTGTAACCCAAGCTACTCAGGAGGCTAGCTTGGCAGACAAGTTCATGAGATTCATCATTTCCAATTAATCACCAAAAAGTGGGAGTGGAGCTGTGGTGCAAGTGGTAAAGCGATAGCCTTAAACAAAAAAGCTCAGCACCCAGACTGAGTCCCAGTTCAAGTCCCAGGACTGGCTCACAACAAAAACACTACAAAACAGAAACCCAACAACTCTCCGGGGTGGAGTGGCATTTTGTATAGGGCTGCAATGTGACCGACCTTGGGTGGAAAGTATGGAAGTGGCCGCGCCTGGGAGACCGGGAACAGTGGCGGGAGCTCGTGGATGCGAGGCTGCGGGTGTCCCTGCGAGGGCTTTTCTGCCCCCTGGTAGTGACAGAACCTCTGGGCGCTTTCAGCGTGGCCGCGGTCGTTCCCCGAGGTCCCGCCAGGGGGCAACACGGCTCCAGGGCGCGCACCGCTGGGCGCGCACCGCAGGCCGGGCCGGCGTCGTGCCTTTCCGCTCCAGTCCGGGACAGGAGCCCAGGCGGGAGAGAAGGGGTCGGAGCCGCGGGTCTCCGCGCCGTTCCCAGGCGCGGCAGACGTTAACTCATTGCTGCCTGGAGGGGAGAAGGGCGGGCAGTTCCCCAGCTTCCCGTCCCGGGGAGGCCCGGCCGCCGAGGGAGGTCCGGGGGCGGCTGGCTGGCGGCCCGGGCGAAGCAGGGAGCGTGGGCCCGCGCCCCACCCGGCTGCGGGGACCCGGGCAGCTCCCTGCGGGCCTCCCCCGGGCCCAGGGCGGCATTCGTCGTGCCTGATCTTATCGTTGGCGCAGTATACCGAACACCTGGGGCCCGGGAGGGGCAGCGGCTCGGGGTCCCGGGAGGACGGGATGGTCCAGGTGGCCACGTTGGCCCGGGGGTCGGGCCTGGGGCCGGGCCGGGCGGCGGCCGGGGAGCTCCGGGAGAGCCAGGCCCAGCTCGGCCCCGGAGTGAGTCAGAGATCAACCTTGTTTAATTACACAGTCTCGAGACCTCCGAGTGCGATAGGGAGCCTTTTGAACTTGCCAATTAGAGATGAAATATCACCTTCTAATTTGGACGTGCTGAATTCCATCATGCAGAAAATAGCAACAGAGCCCCGAGGCTCCCAGATGGATATCGTGTCTCTGGGCTTGTCGCGCAGCGAGGCAGGCTAAAGGGCACAGGGGGAAAGGGGACCGGAAAACAGCTCCAACCCACCCCACCCTGCCACTTCCAGGGAGTCGGGGGGGGGGGGGGGGCTCCAAGTAGGGGGTGGGGGTGGCCCACCCCGCCACAAGGAAGGGCTGGGCCTCCCTGAGAGCTAGGAAACAGCCAAACCAGGAGGCTGATCCTAGTGTTAGGGAAGTTAGAAAAGGAGGGTAATCCAAGGGGTCCCAGGGGCTTTCACATGAGAGGAAGGGGGAGGGAGGCAACAGGAGGAAGGGGGGCAGGAAAGGTGGATCCGCAGCAAGGTTTGCTGGGACAGGCGGGGCCTAAGCCTGCTCAACAGTTTAGGGTGTGGCTACGCCGGGGTGTTGAGCTGGACCGGGTCCTGGTTTTTGCTAGGCAGCTGGCTGGCCAGATGGCTGACTTTGAACTCTCCAAGGCTCAGTTCCTCCTCTGTAAAATGGACTATCAGTCTGGTTGCGCTGTGTGGAGTATTTATTTCCTGAGCTTATGCATACCATCAGCCTGCATGTGGAAGCCACCCTGGTAGCCATTGTTTTGATGAGAGACACCAAAATCTGAGAGCAAGAAATATTCAGGTAGTCAAAATTGCCTTGTGAAAAAGTTGGTGGACTTAGTTTTAATGTATTTATTTACCTCTGCCAATAGCATAAATAGCTGTCGCAATCCCGGGAAACCAGAGACAAGACAATAACAGACACCAGACCATGAAATTGAGGTTTGGGAACCAGGGGCCTGAAGTCTCTGCCAGCTTCACGTGTCCTGGGTCCATTTTACAAGGTATTTATTGAGTAGGGTACAGGTGCATACACAGAAAGTGAAGTCGCAATTTCCTTGAAGTCACAAGCACCAATCATGTGGTATATTTTTACTCAAGTGACTAACTTTTTTATCTTAAGAAGCAGGTGTAAGTAGTAAATGACTTATGGTTAACATAGATTTTTGTCTATCTCCAAATTCCCAGAAAGATTGGTGTGGAAATAGCCTACACTGGGATAGAAATCTGAATTCCCTCCAAGCCAGGACTGATTGACCTTTTCGGGAAACTCTCAGTGTTCTGAGAGTTCATGTTGGGAAGAAGCATTCCATCCTCCCAGTCCTTTCAGGTCTCACAGCTCGGTTTTTGGGGGCTCTCACAAAGACCAACAAACCTCTGGGCTCCAAGATGGATATTCTATTTAAGCAAGATGACAGCAGAGCACCTAAAAGGTCCAGGAGAGTTAGCCAAGCTTGTGTAAGACACTAGGAGTTTCCATGTTAACAACCAAGGAAAGCTAACAAAATGGTGAAGATGTGGTCCCCATAGAAAGCATATAACCTTTCACTCACTCTGGCTTCTGGACAGTGGAATCTCCAGGCAACAGAAAGTCATTCATTCAGATGTGGACCCCCAAGGAACTTACTTCCTCCTCTCACCCACGATGCCATATGACTAAGAGCCAGTACCTCTCTGGGTATCCCTCACCTTGTGGGGCACATTCATTGACCAATGAGAAGACATTTATACAATTTATTCTCACTACTTTTTCCCTGCCTAGGCAGGGCTAGCATCAAAGCTCTGGCCTACTAGAGCATTGGGCAATCAGAAAATACAGAGTTCTTTCTTGCAGATTTTCTCTCTGTGTGGTTACATCTTTTATGGGACTGGTAGGTATGTTGGATTTACTTTTTTATCAGACCTGTTTAAACCTGTAATTTGGAGTGGGGGGGCATTGGAGACTTTCTTGCCCAGCTAGCTTCAAATCTCCATTCTCAGCTCTCACCCTCTTGCGTGGCTAGGATTATAGGTTTGAGCCACCAGTGAGTGCCCAGCTGAAAGGCTGTCCCTCTTCTGAAAGAAATCAAGTGGTGTTGCCTGACCCCTAACCCTCTTCCCTGCAATGGAACTAATGAGTACAAGTCATAGAAGAAAGAGCAGCCTTCACTTCAAATGTCACCACACACTTGGGCTTGTCAGGAAGACATTCCATGCTATCCCCTCTCCCCAATCCTAGGTGGGCCCAAACCAATGATAGTGAATAGAGTTAGACCCCAGAGACAATAGAGACAACGATGACTAGGCCATGTTACTCCACTTCTTGAGGCCTAACCAAGGCTTGTCCAGGCTTAAGGATGGGAGGTGTTTTAGGTTGGAAAAAGAATATCATTTGGTGGGAATGTAACCTTGCTGAACCATTCTGAGACCCAGGTGCCACCCTCCTTGCCATCTACCCACATTTAGTGACACACACATGATATCAGCTACTAAGTTAAATACTTTGTATTTCCTATTTTTTTTTTTTTTTTTTTTTTTGGGTCTGGTCATGGGGCCTGAACTCTGGGCCTGGGCGCTGTCCCTCAGCTCTTTAGCTCAAGGCTGGCACTCTACCACTTGAGCCACAGCGCCACTTCTGGCTTTTTTCTTTTTGCTTATGTGGTGCTGAGGAATCGAACCCAGGGCCTCAGGTATGCAAGGCAAGCATTCTACCACTGAGCCACCTTCCCAGCCCTTTCCTATTTTCCTTTAATCCTTATAATAACGTTATGGAGTATTATGGGTTGTTTATCACTTTTTTTTTTTTTTTAATAAGGAAACGGAGGCCCAGGAACTTGCCCAATGATAGAGAGCCAGGAAATTGTAGAGTTGGGACATGAAGCTAGACTTTTTGAAGGGCACTGCTGGGGGATCAAACCCAAAGTCTTTACATGGTAGACAAGCTAGCTACCACTGAACTATAATCCCAACCCCAGGCTCTCCCAAGACAGGGCTCTCGATGGCTGTGCTACATTTCAGAACATGGGGTTTCCTCTGTGCGGGAAGTATCAACTAGGGACAGTGGTAGAGCAGCAAACAAGACTTTGGGTTTCAATTCTTAGCATCAGTTGGAAGGAAGGAAGGAGAAGGGAAAGGAAGGGAAGGGAACAGAAGCAGAAGGGAAGGCGGGAGAAGAAGAAAAAAGGAAAGGAAGGAGGAAGAGAGGGAAAAAGGGAGGTAAGTGGGAAGGACAAAAAGAAGGGAGGAAGGAAGAATGTCTAATAGCATGGAATACTAAATAGAACTGGACTTGTGTTCTTTTTTTTTTTTTTTTGGGTCCGGTTGTGGGGCCTGAACTCTGGGCCTGAGCGCTGTCCCTCAGCTCTTCAGCTCAAGGCTAATGCTCTACCACTTGAGCCACAGTGCCACTTCCGGCTTTTTTTCTTTTTGCTTATGTGGTGCTGAGGAATCGAAATCAGGGCCTCAGGCATGCAAGGCAAGCACTCAACCACTGAGCCAACTTCCCAGCCCCTGGACTTGTGTTCTTTACAGAAGCAGCTAGGGGGAATTAGAAGGTTTTAGAGACTTTCTGAGTTTCTCTTCCTCCCTCCCTCCCCTCATGCCCTTGAGGGTAAAAGATATTGTAAACCAAGGACTAGTGGCTCAAGTCTGTAATCCTAGCTACTCAGAAGGCTGAAATATGAGGATCAAGGTTCAAGGCAGCCAGGTAAGGAAAGTCCACAAAACTCTGGTCTCCAACTAAGCACCAAAAATCAATCAATCAATCAATCAATCAATCAATCAATCAATCAATCAATCGGGAAGTGGAGCTGTGGCTCAAATGGTAGAGCACAAAGAGTACAAACAAAGAGTGGTGTACAACAAAGCTCAGGGCCAGTACCCAGATCTTGAATTCAAGCTCCAGGACAACACACACACACACACACACACACACACACACACACACACACACACACACACACACACACACAGCATTTTACTTATTTATTTTGCTGGTCCTGGGCTTGAACTCAGGGTCTGGGTGCTGTCCCTAGCTTAAGGCTAGCGCTCTACCACTTGAGCCACAGGGCCACTTCGGGTTTATTGGAGATAAGAGTCTCATGAACTTTCCTGCCCAGGCTGGCTGTGAACCACAATCCTCAGATTTCAGCCTCCTGAGTAGCTAGGATTACAGGTGTGATCTACCTCATTTAATAATAATATTAACAATGTAAGGATGATGATCTGCTGATCTGCTGCGTACCTATCCCACCCCCTTCTCAGTAGGTGGGACAATTTCTTATGGAGAAGGTCCTTCTTCCTTTTAGGAGCCAGTAACACTCCCACTATGACTGATGACTCCTGGGTAAGCTGTGGGGGAGTTTTATGCCTTCCTATTCCATTATCCCTTCCAATAAGGGATGTCTGTGTGTTCCACATTTGCCTGCTGTGAAGGGCCATTATCTGGGAATCAAAGATGCATAGTTAGGGAAAGCTGGCCTCAGTCTACCCAAGATGGCCCAGGCATCAGGTAGGAAAGAGAGACCAGAAGTGGGGCCAGGGTCCTGAGGCCAGCTGGTGTGTGTGTGTGTGTGTGTGTGTGTGCGCGCACACATGCATTAGCACACACAGATCTAGCTCAGGAGGAGGCAAGAGGTCCTGCCAGGTCTCTTAAGAGAAGCAAGCTGGCAGAAGAGGTGAGGCTTCCAGAATCTTTTTCACTGAAGTCAGAGGTAGGATGAACCATGTCTCAGGACACAGCTAGGTCAGCCTAGCTAGGTCCACAGTGAGAGGTGGGAGAAACTTGGGTTCTAGCCAGGTGCCAGTGGCACACACCTGTCATCCTAGCTACTCAGGAGGCTAAGATATGAAGATCAAGGTTTGAAGCCAGCCTGTGCAAGAAAGTTTTTAAGACTCTTATCTCTAATGAACCATACAAAAAAAGCTGGAAATGGAGCTGTGACTCAGTGGTAATAGTGCTAGCCTAGAGCAAAAAGTTCAAGAACAGTGCCCAGGCCTTGAGTTCAAGTTCCAAGACTGGCACCAAAAAATAAAAATAAATAAAATAAAATAAAATAAATGGGTTCTGAGGGCTTTGGGGGTGGCAGCTGTAATGGCCTGTGTGTTGTGAGTCCACAGCTTCAGTGAGTGGCAGGAGACAGAGCGTATTCCCTTTCCTGTTCTCGGATTGCTTTCACTCCATTGGTACCTAGGATGTTGGAGAGTGGGGGTCCTGAGGGAGGTTGGGGAGCAGCCAGAGACCAAGTGAGCAGCTAGACTTGGGCTGTGTTATACCTATCGCTCTGCCCAGACTCACTCTGAGTGATTCCTTCAAGACCCTTCCCCTTCTCAGCCAGAATCCTTCCAGGCCACCTCCCCCCCCCACACACACACATATACACACACAGTACAAAGCAGTTGTAGCTAAACCTGAAATATGAACTTGAAAACCCAAAGGCTGGACTGGATTCAGGTGTAACAAGAATGCAACATTTCAGAGTCCAATTACTGATCCCAGTGGCAGATGAATGCTTCCTTTGGTGCATGCTAAGTCAACTCACTTCAACCCTCTTCCAGGCCCAAGAACCCTCACACCCTGGCTCCCTGTCAGCCCCTGTAGGGCTCAGGCAGTCTCAGCCTGCTGGCTGAGCCCCACCCTGCACAGCTGCAAATATTTATAGCTACATGCCTTTCCCAGCCCTGTGCAAGCTCCCCAGGGCTCTGCTGGGCTTGCTTGCTATTTATTTCTCTAGGTTCCCTGAAGAGAGTTAAAATCTGAGCCTGAAAGAAGTTCAATAACATGTCTCCCAGTGGAGTGTTGGTGGCTCACACCTGTAATTCTGGCTACTCAGAAGGCTGAGAGCTGAGGATCGTGCAGTTTGAAGCCAGCTAGGGCAGCAAAGTCCAGGACACTTTTATTTCCAGTTGACTAGCAAAAAACTAGAAGTGGAGATGTGCCTCACTCAAATAGTAGAGTTCCAGCCTTGAGTGAAGAAGCGAAGGAACAGCACCCATGCTCTAAGTTCAAGTCCTAGTACTGGCACTGGCAAGTGCGCGCGTGTGCACACAACACACACACACACACACACACACACACACACACACACACACACACAATGTCTCCTTTGCCAATGTGAATTGAACTGTTTTCTTATCCCAGTGACCTTTTGTACTCCTCTGGCTGGCAGCAGGGAAGGAGGGGGAATGGATTCCTGACACATTTCTTTGGTTATTTTTGGTTTACAGTGCCTGCATCTACCTACAGCCCTGCCCCGGGGGCCAATTACAGTCCAACTCCCTACACCCCTTCCCCTGCCCCTGCCTATACCCCCTCTCCTGCCCCTGCCTACACCCCTTCCCCTGCCCCTGCCTATACCCCCTCCCCTGGCCCCACCTACACCCCTTCACCTGCCCCCACCTATTCTCCCTCCCCTGCACCAGCCTATACCCCCTCACCTGCTCCAAACTATAACCCTGCACCCTCAGCGGCCTACAGTGGGGGTCCTGCAGAGTCTGCCAGCCGTCCCCCCTGGGTGACTGATGACAGCTTCTCTCAGAAGTTTGCCCCCAGCAAGAGCACCACCTCCATCAGCAAGCAGACCCTGCCCCGGGGAGCTCCAGCCTACACCCAGATGGGTCCCCAGGTGACCCCCCCTGCCAGAGGGACTGTCCAGAGAGCAGAGCGATTCCCAGCCAGCAGCCGGACTCCTCTCTGTGGCCACTGCAACAACGTCATCCGGTATGGCTTCTGGGGCGCTTGAGGCGTGGCAGCATGCTCACCCAAGGGCTGAGCCCTGCAGGTGGAAGGGCAGGTGTGGGGAGATAAACCAGCCAGGCCTAGCAGCCTCAGGTCCCTCTGGATTGATATCTGTGTGGCCCTCTCTGGGCTGTAGTTTCCTTTCCTGTGTGACACCTACAGCCCTGGGGAAGATGGGAGGATCCAGTGAGGTAAGCGTTGGAGCTCCCAGCTTGGTGCCTGGTGCCTGGTGCCTGGAGCTCCCCCTTGGGCTAAGGTTGGGTTCTGGGAATCTCCAGCCTTTTCAATAGGTTTATTGGGCATGCTGGCTGATGGTGCTGGCTTTGACTCTACTTTCCTTTAGGGTTGCTTCTGGGTCTTTCTACAGACAGGCCTGTGGCTCTCAAGGCTTTGGTAGACACTGAAATAAAAACCTAGCCTCTTTGCAGGGAGCTGGTGGCTCATACCTGTAATTCTAGCTATTCAGGAGACTGAAATCTGAGGAATGCAGTTAGAAGCCAGACCTGGCAAGAAAGTCTGTGAGACTCTTATCTCTAATTAACCACCAAAACAGCTGGAAGTGGAGCTGGGGCTCAAGTGGCAGAGCACTGGCCTTGAGCAAAAACGCTGAGGGCAGCACCAAGCCCTGAGTTTAAGCCCAAGACCAGAATGCACACACAAAACAACAAAAAACAAGTCTCTTTAAACTTAACAGCCAGGAGTCATGAATTATGCTTGTTTAATACTCTGTGTGTGTGTGTGTGTGTGTGTGTGTGTGTGTGTGTGTGTGTGTGTGTGTTATGAGCCTATGTATATGAAAAAATATACTATCTTTTCTTGGTGGTACTGAAGTTTGAATTCAGTTCTCTGCACTTGCTCGGCAGGTGCTCTATTGCTTAAGCCACACTCCTGGTGAAAAATACACTCTTCTCACTTGTAGCAGCACACTGCCACTCAAAAATACTTTTGGATTTTGGAGCATTTCAGATTTCTGATTTTTGGATTGAGGCTACTAATCAATCTTAGCTAGAAAAGAGCCTTGAATCTGTAATTTAATGAGTTTTTTTTTTTTTTTTGGGGGGGGGGTCCGTCGTGGGGCCTGAACTCTGGGCCTGGGCACTGTCCCTCAGCTCTTCAGCTCAAGGCTAGCGCTCTACCACTTGAGCCACAGCGCCACTTCCGGCTTTTTTCTTATGTGGTACTGAGGAATTGAACCCAGGGCCTCAGGCATGCAAGGCAAGCGCTCTACCACTGAGCCACTTTCCCAGCCCGATGAGTATTTATTCTTGATGATTAAAATTATAGGTAAATGCTTCCCCTATTCTTCCTCTTATTTTCTTTAAAATCTAGTCAAGAAATTGAGCAGGTTGTCAAATCCCAGTTCCCTCATCAATACTCCCAGTTCTTCTTGGGTAGGCCCTACTGTCATGGCAATATAGTGACATGATTTCAGAGGTAACTTAAAGTATTTGCCTTTCCACTTGGATAAACTAGGAAAGTTAGCATTAGTGATAATCTGGTGGTCTGATAACTTTGACTAATGACATTTTCATTTGTGGTCATAATCTAATGCCAAGAAATAAGACTGTGTCTCAAAAATGTCAAAGCAAGCCAGGTACCAATGGCTCACACCTGTCATCCTAGCTACTCAGGAGTCTGAGATCTGAGGATCATGCCTTCTAGTCAGTCCAAGCAGAGAAATCTGTGAGAGTCCTATCTCCAATCAATCAGCAAAAACTTGAAGTAAAGGTATGGCTCAAGTGGTGGAGTATCAGCCTTGAGCAAAAAAGCCAAGCAGGAGCATGAGGCCTGAGTTCAAACCCTCATACCAGCACACATAAAATGAATACTGAACACGAAAAGAGACCATTAAAAAGGAAATAAATTGATTTTTAAAGACCCAAACTGGTTTTAAATTAGGATGCAGAGGGAGAAAAAATTGTGGCTGATACCCTAAAAACTATTATAAAAAACTACACTACAAAATGATCACTCCCTTAAACCCATAAGAGAAATGTGAACAGCTGTCAAGCAGCAGAGCCAGGCAGGTCAGGTGCCTGTGAGGAGAATTAGACCAGAGCCCAGGCAAGGCTTGGGAAGATGCTAGGCCTATTGTCTGGGTTCTTTGCTCCTTTTGTCAGAGATTTGGGTTCTACACCCCATAGTGTGTGTGTGTGTGTGTGTGTGTGTGTGTGTGTGTGTGTGTGTGTGTGTGTGTATGGGCTTCTTGCTGAATAACTAGAGATAAGAGTTTCATGGAATTGTCTGCCCAGATTAGCTTTGATCCATGATCCTCACATCTCAGCCTCCTGAGCATCTAGGATTGCAGTTGTAAGCCCCCAACACCCTGCCCCTACAGTGGATATTTGAGTTGCTTCTGGGTTCTTTTTACTGTGAGTAAGACAACAGCAGACACCTTTCTTTATGGAGCTTTCTCAGAATTTTCTATGCTTCCAGTCAAATAGTCTCAAAAGTGGGAGGTTCTTGAACTAGTGAGTTCCAGGTTGGGGATGCTACTTATCAGGTACTGTTCTCTGCCTACCCAGGGGTCCTTTTCTGGTAGCCATGGGCCGTTCCTGGCACCCAGAGGAGTTCAACTGTGCCTACTGCAAGACCTCCCTGGCAGATGTGTGCTTTGTGGAAGAGCAGAACAATGTTTACTGTGAGCGGTGTTATGAGCAGTTCTTTGCCCCACTCTGTGCCAAGTGCAACACCAAAATCATGGGGGTAAGTGGGCAGCACCCCTCTCCATTGACCCTTGTCTTTTTTTCCCTAATCCCACTTTCCTTTCCCTCTAAGATTGTGGGGTTCCATTTGGAAACTAAGAAATGACCAGGTGCTGGTGGCTCACATCTGTATTCTAGTTACTCAGGAAGCTGAGATCTGAGGATCATGGTTCAGAGCCAGCCTGGGCAGAAAAGCCAGTGAAACTCTTATCTCCAATGAACCACCAGAAAACTGGAAGTAGAGCTGTGGCTCAAAGTGGTAGCGCACTAGCCCTGAGCACAAAAACTCGAGGACAGTTCCCAGGCCCTGAGTTCAAGCCCCATGACCAACAAAAAGAAAAAAAAGAAAGAGGGCTGGGAAGGTGGCTCAGTGGTAGAGCGCTTGCCTTGCAAGCCGGAGGCCCTGGGTTTGATTCCTCAGCACCACATAAGCAAAAAGAAAAAAGCCGGAAGTGGCGCTGTGGCTTGAGTGGTAGAGTGCTAGCCTTGAGCTGAAGAGCTGAGGGACAGCGCCCAGGCCCAGAGTTCAAGCCCCACGACCGGACCCAAAAAAAAAAAGAAAAAAAAGAAAGAAAAGAAATGACTGCTAAGAGAATGAGCAACTCTTTATTTTTCTCCCACAAGGAGTTTGGTTTGCCATCAGTGAACTAGAGAGCAAATGAACTTGAGACAAGAAATAATTATGGAAAAAAAGGAGAAATAATTATGGGCCTGGACCGTGCAGCTTGGAATGATAGGGGAATTCTGTAAAGCTAGTTATCCATTCATAGCCTGTTCTCACCATTCACCTGCAGGTGGCCTTGACCCTCAGTGCCCCTTGGGAATAGTGGCAGTAAAAAGCAGGACCTCCCTTCTATGTTTAATGGGGGATTAAGCATCATAGCTTATGGAAGAATAAACAGAACCTGGCACCCTGCAAACTCAGGACACTAGGAACCTTTCCCATGCTTTCCTTGGCTTGTCCAAGATCTGCTTCCTGGGCCCTTCTGCTCTGTTTCCTGATCGCTACTTGGGCAGAGGCAGGGCCCTGATAGGGAAGTCAGAAATACCTCTTTTCCTTGGCTGGGTGTGGCTCACACCTATCATCCTAGCTACTCAGGAGGCTGAGATCTGAGGATTGCCCTTTGAAGCCAGCCCAGGCAGTAAAAGTTCTTTGGATTTAGCTTATCTCCAGTGAAAGACCAAAAAGCCAGAAGTAACGTTGTGGCTTACATGGTAGAGTACCAACAAAAAGGCTAAAGGACAAGTGCCCAGGTCCTGAGTTCAAACAATACCAGCGCACACACACACACACACACACACATGGTTGCATCCTGAGTTTACATTTTTTCCCCCAGGAAGTGATGCATGCCCTGAGACAGACATGGCATACCACCTGCTTCGTCTGTGCAGCCTGCAAGAAGCCTTTTGGGAACAGCCTTTTCCACATGGAAGATGGAGAGCCCTACTGTGAGAAAGGTAGGAGAATGGGAACCTATTTGAGAGATGGGGACAGGCACCGGGAACTCCCTCCTGCCTATATCCATTTATACCTGATTATCAAAAGGCTTTCCTTTCTGGGAGAAAGATTTTTTTTGGCAGGAGTGGGGGTGGGGGAGCGGGGTGGTGGTGGTTGTCTCCTGTATACTGCTGGGAATCAACCCAGGGCCTCACACATGCTAGGCAAGCACTCTATTGCTCAACCCTTGTTTTGTTTTGTTTTTCCCCTCCAGCACTAAGGTTTGAACTTGAGCCACTCTCTGACTCTACCACTTGGGCCACCCCCTAACTTTCAGTTTTTTTGCTGATTAATTGGAAATAGGAGTTACATGAACTTTTCCTGCCTGGGCTGGCTTTGCATTTGGGATCCTCAGATCTCAGCCTGCTGAGTTCTAGGACTATAGGCATGAGCACCAGTCCTTGGCTCTTCCCTTGTTTTTAATTTTGTTTTAGTGGTAGAATCATAGCTAATATTATACAAAGGATGCTAGTTGATCTATTTCCTCTGCTCATTTGCAGTTTTTCTGGGGGAAAGGGAGTTGTACTTTACAGTTTATTTTACACATCCAGTCTCTTTCTCCTTTCCATACTTCAAACATATGAGTCACAAATTAGTCTTGTAACTGCTTTGGAAACCTCTCAAGTTATTGTCATGTAAAGACCCAGGTCTAGTCTAGTCTTAACTTTGAACTCCATCCTAGGTTCTATTCTTTTTTTTTTTTTTGGGTCCGGTCGTGGGGCCTGAATTCTGGGCCTGGGCGCTGTTCCTCAGCTCTTTAGCTCAAGGCTAGTGTTCTACCACTTGAGCCACAACGCCACTTCCGGCTTTTTTCTTTTTGCTTATGTGGTGCTGAGGAATCGAACCCAGGGCCTCAGGCATGCAAGGCAAGCGCTCTACCACTGAGCCATCTTCCCAGCCCCCCTAGGTTCTATTCTTGTTTCCATCTTGGACTAACTTTGTGACCCTGAATGAGCTACAAAAATTTTCTAAGCCTCACTTTCCTGATCTGTAAATACCGATCTGTGGTATTGAGAGGAGGAAATCAGAGAGGGTATAAAACATGGAATGGAAATGTGTATGTCCATTCCTCTGTACTTACAATGTATTTCAAAGTCCTATAGTATCAACATCTGAATTCAGAGTTGCTGTATATCCCAAAGTGTAATGTATTATCTAAAATGGAAGAAATTATGGTAAGTTTAGGAATCACAGTACTTCGTTTTTGTTTTTTTTTTTTTTTGGGGGGGGTGGCAGTTCTAGGATTTGAATTTAAGATCTTCTGCTTGCTAGGCTGGTACTTTATCACTTAAGACCCCTCCCCCAGCTCTGTTTTTTGCTGATCATTTTTGAGATTCTCTCTCTTTCTGCCTAAGCACATGCCTGAGCTACCATCGAACTACTTTAGGTTTCACTTTGTTGCTGGGATTATAGGCATGTTCCACTGAGGCCAGCTAAGGGTTGAGACAGGGTCTGGTGAATTGCTGTTTGGGCTAGTCTCAAAGCACAAGCCTCTTGATCTCAGCTTCCAAGCAGCAATGATACTGGCATGAGTCACTAGTGCCCACTGAGATATGGCACTTTACAAGAAAGCTAGGTGTCCTGGCTAGCTGACCACTCACTCAAAGCCAGCAACGAGAACACAGACATGAAGATTGTAGCACCAGAAAATCAGAAGAAGAAAAAGAAAACATGCTGATTTTAAGAGTAATAGCAGCAGTGACTGGCCAGGCAGTCAATATGAAGTAAAAAAGGGAAACACAGTTAGTTTACTTTAAAATCCAGAAGATAAACATCATTCTCGTTCTTCTAGGAGAAAAGCAAAACAAATTATGTCTTCCCCCTGACAATAAATTATAAAAAGAAATGTCTTGAGTTCTTATGCTGGAAGATCTTTTTAGCTCTGAATTATTTCAAATGAAATCACTTTGTCTCTCAGTTTCCATACCCGTTTCTTTTGATCATATGGTAGTGATTGATGATGAACAAAATTGTTCTTCTGCTTAGACAAATTGCTTCTATTCTTCAACCAACAGCATTATAATTTGCATCATTTGTAAAAAGTTACAATTTGTGTCTGAGGCTCAGGAAAAGATGACAGATTTCCACTCTGACCACTGCTGCTTTCCATGGCAACCTCTCCCCCTCAAAAAAAAAGGTCATAAACATGACATTCTGAGTAGAAGGTACAAGCAGCAAGGGGACAGACTAGTGTTATGGGAGGACAGAAGGGACAGAAGTTTGCCTCTGGATCAAGAAACTCTGAGGACTTAGACTTGAATCCAGCGGGGCCATTTCTAAGCTATGTGATCAGGGACAAGACACCCACCTCTTCTTAGTCTGTTTCCTCATCCAGACTCCATCCTTCAGAGGCTGTTGTATGAATTAATTGAGATGGTATATGCAGCCCATCTGTCCTCAGAAAGTAGAGAATAATTTAAAATCTACTTTCTAGCTGGTACCCATGGCTCATGCCTGTAATCCTAGCTACTCTGGAGGCTGAGACCTGAGGATTGAGGTTCCAACCCAGCCTAGATAGGAAACTCCATGAGATTCTCATCTCTAATTAACCACCAAAAAAGCCAGAAGTGGAACTGTGGCTCAAGTGATAGATAGAGCACTAGCTTTGAGTGAAAAAGCAAAGGAACAGTGTCTAAGCCCTGAGTTCAAGCTCCAGTGAAGATACACATGCAATATAAATTAAATCCATTTCCTGAGCTGAAGGGATGGCTCAGTGATAGGTGCCTCAAGTCTGGCATACTCGAGTACTTGGTTCAGTCCCTAGCACTAGATTTAAAAGAATCCTTTGCTTTAAGCAGCAGTCATTGAAATGTTGAAGGCAAAGTATTAAGAATATAATCTTTGTTTTAGAAAAAGTACTAGAAATCTAGTATATATGTTAAATACACTAATGAATGATCTTTTTTTTTTTTTTTTTTTGTGCCAGTCCTAGAGCTTGAACTAAAGGCCTGGACACTACTTTTAGCTTTTGTGCTCAAGGCTGGCGCTCTATAATTGAACCATGGAAGTTAATTGGAGATAAGAGTCTCATAGACTTTCCTGCTTAGGATGGCTTTGAACCTCTATCCTCAGATTGAAGCCTCTTGAGTATCCAGGCATGAGCTCCTAGCACCTGGCTCATGAATGATATTCTTATGAACAAGATGAAGGGTTAGGTGACCCAACAGTTAAGCCAAACTTGGTTGATAAACCTGCCTTAGAGTTAATAAAATATATCAGTGCTAAGGATATACTTCAGTGGTAAAACACTTGCCTGCTATGAGAGGCCTTGGTGTCATCAATCCCAGGTGTCATTTTGATGAAGGTGGGTATGTTAAATAAAACAAAAACTGACCCAACAACACCCAATCCATTTTAAGCATACAGTTCAGTAATGTATTCACAAGTTGTGGAACCAATTTTCAGAAGCCTTTTGTCTAATCTGAGACTACACTTCTCTTATGGCCTCAGCTCCTGGCAACCACCATTCTATTTTCTGTAACTATGAATTTTATTCCTCTAGGTTATCATCTAAGTGGAATCCTATTTTTTTAAATAATGTTTTATAAAGGTGATGTACAAAGAGGGACAGTTACATAAGTCAGGTAAAGAGTACATTTCTTTTTGGACAATGTCATCCCTTTCCTAGCTGTCTCCCAGTTTTTCCTCCTATCTCCACCCACAAGTTGTATAGTTCATTTTCAACATAGTGTCTAGTGAGTACCACTGCTGCATTTGTTCACCCTTTGTCCCTCCATTTTTGCGCCTCCCTTTACCCTCCTCCCAAAGACGGATAAATAAACAAGACAAAAAGAAAAGAAAACAAAAATAGCAACAAAGGGGAAAAAAACCTCTTGTTCCTATTTCCTGGAGTTCATTTCGGTCAGAAATTCTATTTGGTATGATTTTTCTTGTATTGTATTGCCCTGCTGGGGATTGAAATCAAGGCCTCACACATGTTGGACTCTACCACTGAGCTACACTCCCAGCCCTATTGTAATGGTATAAGAGTAGTCACACCATTTTGCAATCTCATTAACAGGATACAAGACCTCCAGTTTCTCTACATCCTTGCCAACATATATTCTGGGTTTAAAAAAATACATTGTCATCATAATGATGTGAAGTGTTAGCTGATTGTGGTATTTTGTCATTACTTCTGTGGACAACTTGGAGGAAGACCATGAAGAGAATCCTGTTAAATCTTCAAGCCAAAATCTTAAGCCAAAATGATAGGGTTTAGACCCCAAAAGACATTTGGTAACTACAAAGATGAGCTGAAACATTAAGACACAAGTAAGACAGGTGTGAAGGTCAACCCTTTACATCTGAAGCTACACCTGAGCGATTTGTAAGGTGGAGGTGCAGCACAATAACCTAAGGAGCTTTAAAAACTAGAGAAAAGCCAGTGCTGGGACCTCATGTCTGTAATGTTAGCTACTCTGGAGGCTGAGATCTAAGGATTGCAGTTCAAAGCTAGCCTGGACAGGAAAATATGTGAGACTCTTATCTCCAATCAACCACCAAACAAAACAGAAAGGAGTTATGGTTCAAGTGGTAGAGCACTAGTCTTGAGAAAAAATGCTCAGGATAGCACCTGAGCTCTGAGTTCAAGCCCCAGGACTGGAACCAAATAAGTTTAAAGAAGAAAGCTAGAGAGAAGAAAAATTTCTAGTCCTACCCCAGACCTACAAAGACAGAATCTCATGGGGGTACTTTACTCCATTAGACTGAGTCTAATATTTTATTAGGTTTGAGAATTGAATTTGTTTCTCAAGGTATGTTCGCAGCGCCACCAGTCTCAATATCACCTGAGAACCTGTTAGAAATGCAGGTCTTTGGGCCATACCTTCCATCTGTGAATGACAAACTCCAGATGTGGAATTTGGTGATCTGTGTTTTAATAAGCCTTTCATGTGATTATGTTTGAGAATCAATGCATGCAAGAAGCACTAAGCCCTTTTTCAACATAGAGCATCTGTGATTTGATGGATAGAAATCCTTTTACAATAGCAATAAAAATCCATCAAATAGAAGGAATATATTAACTCAACCTGAGACATAAGAGAGTTATTCAAAGAAAATTATAAATACCTAAAGGGAGAAATAAAAGAAGAAAAATGAGGAACTAGGTTATGCTCATGGTAGCAAGGTTCATGTATGCAGGCTTAATTCGAAACCAATGTTATTCTCCTTTTGTAGAATAAACAAACAGAAACACCAACTTTTTTAAAGAAATACATTAGAATCAGATTCATATTATTAACTTTTATAGCAAAGTGGCAATTCTCCAGATCATAAACAGTCAGATTTAAAAATGGAAAATGTATCCGTAGTCAAGGCAAATCAATTCCACAAATAGATTCAAGCCCTTCTGAGGGCAAAATATGTGAAAAACTGGTAGGAAAAGAAAGGACTTATTTAATAAGGTTAGGTGAAACATTTCTTTAATATATTTTATCTTTTGCCTATAAAATGTGAACTAAGAATGTAGTGTATGCAAGTCACTGTGGGAAGCCTTGAGCATAAAGGTAAGCATGGTAGAGATTTTGCTCTCAATATCCTAAAGCAAACTATCATCTTGGAACATGCTGGGCTCCATATGTTCATTCAAGAATGAGGCATGGAAGCTGGGTGCTGGTGGCTCATGCCTGTAATCCATCCTGTAATCACAGTTCAAAGACAGCCCAGGCAGGAAAGTCTGTGAGATCTTATTCTTATCTCCAATTAACCACCAGAAAACCAGAATGGAACTGTGGCTCAAAGTGGTAGTGTGAGAGCCTTGAGTAAAAAGCTCAAGACAGTGCCCAGGCCTAACACACACACACACACACACACACACACACACACACACACACACACACACACACACACATACACACAGAATGAGGGATCCATAGATGAGTTTTTGGAAGAATGGATGACACATGAATGAATGGTGCATGGTGGATGGATGGATGCAAATGGGTGGATGGATGGATAAATGGAAGGATAAAGAAGGGCAACCCAGAGTAATCTCACCTCTCTTGGCTGAGGTGGAGCATGAGGGCTTCCTAGTAGAAAGGTTTGACCCTAAGGATTACAGACATTCAGGTAGAGAATGTGGGGAAGGGCTTTCCAAACTCATGGCTTGGTTAATACAGAAGCATGGAGGTTTATGAGAGAGCTCAGAGCATCTGGAGATGAAGTGGGAGTAATGAAAGCAAAGTCAGAAGGAGGGTGTGTAAGGCTTGGCCAACAGTGGAAGTGAGTTAGCTGAAACTTGCACGAGTAAATTCCTTTTACTAGGCATCTGCAGTAACTTTCTAAAAGAAGCAGAGTAATGTTTTCTTAGTTTAGGCAAGGTAATACAGTTCTGCCTACTGAAGAAATGAAGTATTCTGTCAGAGACAACATTGATGGACTGAGATATAGTACTATTTTCATGACAGAGTGTTATTAAAGCACAAAAGGGGAAATCACAGGAAAAACTAAACCAGAGATCAATAAAACTCACCAAAGCTCAATGGTAAATAGGAGCTAGCAATAGAATAAGTCATGGAAGGAGGTTGAACTTTGGAGTTCATCAAGTCATATGCTACTCATTATGACATGTAATGGACTCTCTCCAGATTTCTTTCTTTCTCTCCCTCTCTCCCTCCCTCCTTCCCTCCCTCCCTCCCCCCTCTCTCTTCCTCCCCCTCTCTCTTTCCATCCCCACCCCACTCTTTCTGGTTTCCGTCCTGGGGCTTGAACTCAGTACCTAGTGCTGTTCCTAAGCCTTCTTGCTCAAAGCTAGTGCTCTACCACTTAAGTTACAGCTCTACTTCTGGTTTTTGGGTGGTTAATTGGAGATAAGAGTCTCATGGACTTCTCCTGCCTGGGTTGGCTTTGAACACTGATTCTGAGATCTCAGCTTCTGGGGTAGCTAGCAGGTGTGAGCTACTAGCTTTCCCTCCTTTTAATAGGAATATTACCTCTTTATGGCTCTTCACGGAGCTGCTGTGAGGATTTAGCAGGAAACGTAGTGCATTCTTCTTTCTTTCTTTTATCAGATATAAAGACTTCTAAAATAAGAGCAATGTTTCTGAATGTTTGTGCTAAATACTTCATATTAAATTATATTATTTCATTTGTTCAACCATCCCATGAGTTGGTGCATCATTATTTCCACTCTATAGATAAGAAAGTTGAAGGCCTAAGAGGTAAATGAGTTGTTCCCAGATTGGAAACCAGCTTTGAATGAAAAAGCTAGGGGACAGCACCCAGGTCATGAGTTCAAGACCCCTCTACCCCAAAACTTGGGAAAACAGGCCAGAAGCATGACTCAAATGGTAAAATACTTGCCTAACAGGTTCAAACTAGATACTATATATATATATATATATATATATATATATTTATAAATATATATATTATTAGGGGCGGGTGCCAGTGGCTCATGCCTGTAATCCTAGCAACTCAGGAGGCTGAGATCGGAGGATCATGGTTCAAAACCAGCCTGGGCAGGAAAGTCTGTGAGACTCTTATCTCCAATAAACCACCAGAAAACCTGAAGCAGCTCTGTGGCTCAAGTGGTAGAGCATTAGCCTTGAGTGAAGAACTGAGGGATAGCACCTAGGCCCAGAGTTCAAGCCCCATGGCCGACAAAAAAATATATATATATATGTATGTATGTATGTATTAGGGACCCTTATTCTTTTGTGTGTGTGTGTGTGTGGGCGCATGCCCGCGTGTGTGCTGGTTCTAGGACTTGAACTCATGGCCTAGGAACTGTCCTTGAGATTTTTTGCTCAAAGCTAATGTTCTACCTTGAGGCACAGCTCCACTTTTGGTTTCTTTGGTAGTTTATTGGAGGTAAGAGTTTCATGGACTTTCCTGCCCTGCTGGCTTTGAACCAGAATCCCATCTTAGCCTCCTGGGTAGCCAGGGTTATGTGTTTGAGCCACTGGTATCCAGTGAGAACCTTATTATTACAAAAAGCTGCAAGGAACTATGGATTAAAAAATGGTGTTTTACAATTCATTTGTTTGGACTATTAGAGATGACAGAGTCAAAGGAGACAATCATCCAGCAAAAAAGCTGATGAGAACTTCAGAAAGTATTTGTAGATCAAATCAGCACAAGATAGTGACTAAACCCAAGTCTGTACAACTTCAGAACAAATTATTAAAAAAGAAAAACATATCAATCACAACATTTTATTTATGTAGTCTGTGCAATGACAAACCACTGTCCTCAAACAACTGCTTTGGGGGTTATTCTGGCCTTGGGTAGATATGGCTGGTTGTCTGATGGCTGCTCGATCCTCACTCTGACCTTTATTACAGACTACATCAATCTCTTCAGCACCAAGTGCCATGGTTGCGATTTCCCGGTAGAGGCTGGTGACAAGTTTATTGAAGCCCTGGGGCATACCTGGCATGACACCTGCTTCATTTGTGCGGTATGTTGTTAGCTTGGGGTTCTAGCTGATTGAAAGTGGGTGGCAGGAAGTAAGAAGGGGCGATGGCCAACCCTGCAATTCCCCTATAACTCAGGCATTCTGATATTTTTTTTCAAATCTTATAAATATCATATGCCTTAGTATGACACAGTTGAACAAAGTCTTGTTACTAATGATTATCTAAAAACCCAGTGGTTTTATTACTCCATTTTCTGATGGACAGAAAAAGTACTAGATGATCTGGAAATCAGCAGCTTGCTCGCTGGCTATGTCTCTGTAGGTGGGGGTGAAGGTGAGATAATGCTTAGATATAAGAGGGACAGATGGTTTCTTAAGGCTGTATGTTGCTTGCTTCCGTTATAGTGAAGTGATTTGATGGTTTCCACCAAAACTGTACCATGAACACCAGATTGCAGCTTATTGTTTAGTCTTATGAAAAACTGAGATAAAATTTCTCTCCTTTTTGGAAATGGGGGATAAGAGACTCACTGACTTTTCTACAAAGGCTGGCTTCAAACCTCGATCCACAGATCTCTGCCTCCTGAGTAGCTTAGGATGACAGGTGTAAACCACCAGTGCCTAACTAAAGATTTCTCTTGATGGAAACTTAAGAAGCAATAGTGAATATCCCTTTCTTTTCCTGTCCACCTTTTCTTGATATATAGATGCTAGGAGATAAACCTTAGATTAACTATTAACTGGGCTCAGTTTATTTTACTAGGAGACTGGTGTTTCCCCTCTCAGGAATCTGGGTTGGGGTAAGGACATGATCTTGGACATCCTGACATTTATACATTGAATTATAAGTAGGAAATAATCATCTCTGCTAAAGCCCTGTAAAGTCTGTCTTTAAATTAATGTTTGTGTATATGTGTGTATACCAGTACTGAGGCTTGAATTCAGGCCCTTGGCACTGCATCTTAGGTTTTTTTTTTTTTTTTTGCTCAAGGCTAGTGTTGGTGATCTATCACTTGAGCCACAGCTCTACTATCTGGCTTTTTGGTGATTAATTGGCTTTGAACTGGGATCCTCAGAGCCTCCTGAGTACCTAGGGTTACAGGCATGAATCATTGACCCGAGTGACCTCATTTTATTTTGGAGAAATTAATGTAATACTTTGTTTTGTTATTGTCAGTCATGGGGCTTAAAGCTAGGGCCTGGGTGCTCTCCCTGAGCTCTTTTTGCTAAAGGCTAGTGCTCTATCACTTTGAGCCACAGCTCCACTTCTAGTTTTCTGGTGGTTAACTGGAGATAAGAGTCTAACAGACTTTCCTGCTGAGGCTGGCTTTGAACCACTGGGATCCTCAGATCTCATCCTCCTGAGTAGCTAGGATTAAAGATGTGAGCCACCAGTGTCCAGATATCTATCTATCTATCTGTCTGTCTGTCTGTCTGTCTGTCTGTCTTTCTGTCTGTCTGCCTGCCTGCCTGTCTGTCTGTCGGTCTGTCTGTCTATCTCTCTCTATATATATATTTATTTATTAATCAGGGTTGCTCAAGGTAAATTTTGGGGAATGAATAAGATATATATGCAGATTAAATTTGAATAATGTTTTAGACACATATAATAGAAAAAAATCCTATAGAGTCCTCTGCCATATGCCTTTGGCTCTCCACTTTGACACCTCTACTATTTGTGGGATGTGTTATATTCACTCTGTATTAGTTTGTTAGGGCTGCTGTTACAAATTGATGGTTTAAACAACAGAAATGTATTCTCTCACAGTTCAGGGAAAGTCTAAAATCAAGTTTCCAATAGGCAGTCATGCCTTTTCTCCTACCTTTTGATGATTTCCAGCAATCCTTGGATTTCTTGGTTCACAGCTGTGTCATTCTCATTTCTGTCTCCATCCCTACATGGCTGTCTTCCCTCTGTGTATCTGTGTCTTCACCTGGCCATCTCTATGTGCTTGTCTTTTTGATCATAGTGGATTAAAGACCAACCTTCTTCAATCTGATTTCATCTTAACTTGTCTTTTTTTAATGTGTGTACTTTAAATGGAACTTGAATTCAGTGCCTTGTGCACTCTTACAGCTTTTTCTGCTCAAAGCTGGCATACTACCACTTGAACCACACTTCTACTTCTGTTTTTTGGCTAGTTAATTAAAGATAAAAGTCTCTTGTGTTTGTCTGTCCTGGCTCGCTTCTAACCCTGATCTTTAAGTCTCATCCCCCTAAGGAAGTAGGATCAGAGACATAACACTGGCACTCAGATAAAACAAAATTTTATTTTATTTTTATTTTTTTGCTGGTCCTGGGACTTGAACTCAGCCCGGGTGCTGTTGTCTCTGCACTAGCTCTCTATCACTTGAGCCACAGCTCCAACTCTGGCTTTTTGTGGTTAACTGGACCTAAGAGTCCCACAAACATTCCCTCCCTAAGGCTGACTTTGAACCACGATCCTCAGATCTCAGCCTCCTAAGCAGCTAGGATTATAGGCCATGAGCCACTGGCATCCAGCTTAAACTACATCTTAATTGTATCTGCAGAGTCTGTTTCCAGATAGGGCTGCTACTGTTACCATATGCACTGGGTAGTCTGGAGGTCCTGGGGTTAGGGATTCAACATATGAACTTGTTTTATTTAAGAGGGAGTATTACTAATTGCCCAGGCTAGCTGTGAACTGCTGAGTTCAAGAGATCTTCTTGTCTTAGCCTCCAAAGTAGCGGGGATTACAGGTATGCACTACTGTATAGTTTCAATTTATAAATTTTGAGGGACAAATTCAATCCCATAGACTTATTTTCCAGCTCTTTGAACACATTTTCTGCTTTCTTAGGTCCTGTAAATCTATTAGAGCTACCCCTCCAAAAACAGGCTGATGGTGTGAATATTTTGGCTTTAAGATGGTTGCTTGCAGAACTGGGGCTCAACCAGGCATAGCATAGGGTTCTCTGACCTTTACTGTCAAGCCATGGCTTGTTTTTTTTCCTGAGACACTGCTTGCTAGTTTGGTTACCCAACTTCTAGAAAGATCCAAGAGACCTGGAGAAGGTCCAGGTAGACAGAGCCACACATGGCCTCTTCTCTGAGAGCAGGCTGATGAGAGGGCTGTGTTGCCGCAGGAGGAAGTTGTGGCAAAGGTAATGGAGAGTCCTCTCCTTTGAGCCATTAGATTCTGCTCAATCACAACAGTGCAAGTCCTAGAGAGAGACTAGAAGAGATAAGATGGGTTCAGGCTCATAATACAAATGAGTTTCAGGAACTTATGTCCAGGGTGAGAAACTCACAGCACTGCTGAGCAGATTTGCTTAAAGAAACTAGGCAGAGCCAGGCACTGTGGCTTATGCCTGTAATCCTAGCTACTCAGGAGGCTGAGATCTGAGGATCAAGATTCAAAGCCAGTCCCAGCAGGAAAGCCTGTGAGACTCTTATCTCCAATTAACTACTAGAAAACCAGAAGTAGCATTGTGGCTCTAAGTAGTAGAGTATTAGTCTTGAGCCAAAGAGCTTGGGGACAGCACCTAGGCCCTAGTTCAAGACCTATGACCAACAAAAACAAATACGAACAAGCAAAAAAAAAACAAACAAAAAACTAGGAAGGTCCTGATCTTTGGAAAATACCATGGAGATGACTAGATCTTCTTCTAAATCAGCCTTGTGAGGCACTCTCTTCCCAGTGACATTGCAAAGTGGAACATAGTTTTAATGTTTTTGTGCTCAATATTGCTATATCCCCTACAGGATATCAAGATAACTCATGTGTCATCAAACAGTGCAAAAATAGATAGGCCTCATTTATTTTTTGGGGGATTACTGGCATTTATTTTTCTTGAGTACTCCTTCCTTCCTTCCTTCCTTCCTTCCTTCCTTCCTTCCTTCCTTCCTTCCTTCCTTCCTTCCTTCCTTCGTTCCTTCCCTCCTTTCTTCATTAAAGCCCTATTTTAAAGATAACAGAAAGTTTTATTTTGGTGGTTCTAGGTGGTTTGAACACAGGGTTTCACCCTTGCTAAGCTGGTGCTCTACATTTGAGCCAAGCCTCTAACCATGTTTTTCATTAGTTATTATTTATTTATTTTGTGTGTCGGTCCTGAGCACCTTTTACTCAAGGCTAGCACTCTACCACTTGAGCCATAGCACCACTTCTGGCCTTTTCTGTGATTTAATTGGAGATAAAAGTCTCAATTTCCTGCCTGGGCTTGAACTGCAATCCTCAGATCTTACCCTCCTGAGTAACTAGGGTTACAGGTATGAGCCACTGGTGCCTGGCTAATTGATTATTTTTGATATAGGGTTTCATTTCCCACCTAGGTGTGTGTCTGAGCCATGATCTGCCCACTTTATTCTTCCAGTTGCTGAGATGATAGGCATATGTTACTTTGTAGAGCTTCTTCTCGGTGGAGATGGGATTTTGAGGACTTTTTTGCTTAGGCTGGCTTGGAATCATGATCTTCCCAATCCCAGCCATCCAAGTAGGTAGGATTACAGCCATAAGCCTCCAGCACCAAGCCTATTGAGGGTTTTAGTCTCATATACTTTGCTTATTAATAGGGTTCTAGTGGCATCTCAGGTTGTAATTTTTTTCTTTTTTTTTGTTGGTCCTGGGGCTTGAGTTCAAGGCCTGGGCATAGTCCCTGAGCTTCTTTTCTCAAAGGTAATACTCTACCACTTGAGTCACAGCGCCACTTCCAGCTTTTTGTTTATCTGGTACTGAGGAATTGAACCCAGGGTTTCATACATGCAAGGCAAGCACTCTACCACGGAGCCACCTTCCCAGTCCCCTCTTTAATCATTATTAAGGATACTCTTTTCCAGTATTTTGTTAGTTTACTAATGTTATTTGCTTAGATGTTAGTCCTTTTTGTGGGAACTGACATATGAACTTGCATTAGCTCCTTACCCATGTAGGATAGCATGAGTTGGACACTTCATCACATACATTCTCTGTTCTGTTAGATTTGAGTTTTAGTCCATGTTCTCTGGAAGTCTTTATTTTTTGTTTGTTTGTGCTGGTCTTGAGGCTTAAACTCAGGTCTGGACAGTGTCCCTGAGTTCCTTTTACTCATGGCTAGCTCTCTACCACTTGAGCCACAGCTCCTCTTAGGGCTTTTTTCTTTTTGGAGCTTTCGTTGGAGATAAGAGTCGCACAGACTTGCCTGCCCAGGCTGGCTTTGAATCGAAATCCTCAGACCTCAGCCTTCTATCACTTGGCTTGGAAGTCTTTATTTTCATATAGCTCAACTGATCTATTCTGTTTCACTCATTAAAGCTAGTTTTGCCCCTGCACAAAGACATATAATAGAACTTTTTGTTATGGGGTGACTGAATGCTTTGTTGTTGTCATTTTGAGATATAAGATCTTGCTCAAATGTAATCCTTCATGACCATCCCAGGGGACCACTCGGATGCAAGCAGGCCTGGGAGAAAGATCATTATAAGGTTTATTAGAGGGGCCATATTTCCCAGGAGAGGGAGTACAAGGTATCCGTCCCTATTCTAGTGCCAGGAAGGTCTGGGGGCAGGTAATGAGTGCAGTAGGTCTGAACAGGGAAAGGGAGTGAACGGCTGTATGGCAGGAACTCTAGGGCAGGGAGGAGCTCTGGTACGGGTGGAGCTGAGGACCAATGGTAATAAATACTAACACCAATAATCTAGGCTAATGTCAACTCAAGATCTAGGAAGGTCTTGAGTCTTGGTCTTCCAAGTGCTGGAATTACAGGTATGCACCATTATGCCCAACTTGACTGAAATCTCTTTTGCTCATGTCTCGTTGCCATGTGGGCTATAAGACTCCATCTCATAGAACTCTTTTCTCTCTCCCAGGTCTGCCATGTGAATCTGGAGGGACAGCCATTCTACTCTAAGAAGGATAAACCCCTGTGCAAGAAGCATGCGCATGCCATCAATGTGTAAAGGCCCAGGGCATCTGGTGTGGGCAAGACCCCAGCTGCTCTTGCTACTGGCAACAAAAGATTCAAAGAGGCTGATGTTTCTTTGGGTGGGAGGGAGAGGAGAGGAAGCGATTGAGCTCTTTTGAAGTATAATTTTAATCTTTTCTTGTGTACACAGATCATGTATTTGCATAGTTCAGACTAAAAGCCAAATGAAGATTTTAAACCAAGCTAGTAATTAATCCAAGACTGGAATTGCACTTCAAACAGTTAGGACAGGATTACAGGAACTCAAAAGCAAAAAAATGAAAAGTAACTTTCTCCAAGTGATATACCTTACCTGCCACCCCCAGAGTAGAGACAGAGTTCAGAGTACTTACAGAGAACCCCAAATATTTAATAGAGCTCTGTAGAGCTCCTCCAGCAAACAAAATTAAGTGCCAAACAGTACTTGCTATGGGATATTTTTAGAGCCATAGCTGAGAGCTTGCTAGCTAAGACCAATTGGGCTTTCCTCACCAAAAAAGGAAGTGTTATTCTATTACTAGTGTCATGGAGCTACCTCTGCACATCAGACCTTGAACAAACTTAAAATGCCTAAAGGGAGCCCAGATGTCTGGAGAGATGTCTTCTGGGAGCCACTGGCAGAACTGACAAGGCTCTGAGAAGGGCTCTGCCTTGTACTGCTGAGACTGACAGGCTCTTCAAAGCATCTCTCTTACAGTTTTGAAACATCCAAGAAGGCTTATTGGCTCCTTTTTGAATTGGGAAGGGAAAACAGATTTGGATTCTTCCAGTTTTGCTTTGCAAGTGCATGAGGAGAGATATAAAAAAAAAATCTGGGTTGTATTTGGTCTGTGTTTCTAAGAGGTTCCTGAGCATTTGTCCTATGCATGTATTTTACTCTCTACTTACAACTCACCGCTCATGCATGACCTCTTTCTCAGCACACTCCTCATCCCCCATGGAAAGAAGAGAAGAGACAGTGTCTGACATGGGTTGGAGGAATAGCTGGCATGTCCAAACTGTGGGTGGGGAGGACCCTTCCTTTCTGCCAACCTCTGTGAGAACAGGCTGCCGACCTTCAGGGCCTCATTATTCTCTTTTTATTGTTCTTTTTGTGCTGGTATTGGGACCTGGGTGATGTCCCTGGCAAGGCTAGCATTCTACATTTGAGCCACAGCTCCATTTCCCCCTTTTTGGTGGTTAAATGAAGGTAAGAGTCTCATGGACTCATTCCAGGGTTGGCTTCAAACCAAGATTCTCAGATCTCAGCCTCTTAAGTAAATAGGATTACAGGCATGAGGCACTGGCGCCCAGCTTCACTATCTTCTTTATGTGTTTAAATACAGCACACTGATTATGCACAACCATTGTCACTACTGGAAGGAAAAAGGGATATAGTTGCCACTTGGGCCAATATCTTGAATGGAGCTAACATTATTTAAATATTTACTGAAGTAGAATGGGCCTTACAAACTGCTTTACAATGTAAGTGATAGTTTAAGCATGGGAATGTTTCTTTAGTAGTAAAGAAAGAAGTTTCTTTTTTCATTTTTTGGCGCTGCCCTTGAGCTTTTTTTGCTCAAGGCTGGTACTCTATCAGTTGAGCCACTGCTCCACTTCTAGCTTTTTGGTGATTATTTGGGGGTAAGAGTGTCTCACAGACTTTCCTGTCCAGGATAGCTTTGAACTGTGATCCTCAGATCTCAGCTTCCTGAGGAACTAGGATTACAGGGAGCCACTGGTGCTAGCAGAAGTTTCATTTCTGAGGATGGAGGTGGCAGGCACATTGAAAATGGCGTTAAAGCAGGCAGTCGGTGAGGATGCTTCGCACTGGAGCACAACAGTTAGGCACTCTTCCAATTCACTGCTACTTTCTCCTTGCTCTGGTTTGGGACTTTTCTCTTTACGCTTTAGAAATGTTTTACAGAAATGTGTTAGCACACTTTTTTTCTTCTGAGAACGGAGGCATTTCAGGGCTGGCCAACCTAACACAGTGTATAGGGAAGAAAAAACAGTTGGCCAAATCCTGGGGGGTGGGGTAAAGCCTACTGTCACTTCCAAGTGTGAAGCCACCAACTTCCCCCAGGCAGCATTAGGGAGGGGCATAAGGTGCCCTGTCAGAAGCCTAGCTTTACCTTTGATGCAGGGAGAAAGTGGATATATAGTCCCAGCAGAGGAATTCTGCTGGGACAGCCTGGAAATTTGTCAGAAGGTGCAAACAAATACCTTAGAGCATTCTGTTATTTTTGGAAAGTTCAAATATACAGGGACAAGGAGCTTGCTGATTATACAGAAAGCTCTAATCAGGTTTTGGTTTTTTGTTCCTTTTCTAAAAGTCTGTCAAATCATCGGAAACTGGTCTTGCAGAAAGAAAATAAAAGTTCCCTAGAGTTATTTCTAACATCTCTTTGTAAGGTTTTACAAATGCACACATGCCACAAATACAGAGGAGGAGAAGAGATATTAAAAGACAGCTTTATACCACTCTCTACCGAATTTTTGTGTATGTGTGCCAGTACTGGGGCGTGAACTCAGGGCCTGGGTACTGTTTCTTACCTTTTTTGCTCAAGGCTGGTATCCTACCACTTAAACTCCTCTTTCAGCTTTTTAGTGGTTAATTGGAGATAAGAGGCTTTCAGAGTTGTCTGCCTGGGCTGGCTTTGAGCCAAGATCCTCAAATCTTAGCCTCCTGAATAGTTAGATTACTCTGTGAGACAATTACCTGTCTTAGTTTTCTCCTTTCTTCCCTCCCTTTCCTCCTTCCTTCCTTCCTTCTTTTCTTTCTTCCTTCCTTCCTTCTTTCCTTCCTTCCTTCCTTCCTCACATCTCTGAGTTCATACCGTACCTCATTTTCTAAGAGACTCTTACCAAAAACCCAAACAATAAACATTTTAGGGGCTGGTGCTATAGACCAGTGGTAGTATGTTTTCCTAGCATGCACAAGGTCCTGGGTTCCATCTCCGGCGCTGCAAAAAAACAAAATAAAACAAAGACCACTTTAAAAGGAAAAGGAAGTTGTTTAAGTGGGGTTTATATTGTGTCCGTGAGTCTTGTGTAGTATCAAGATTAAGGCTGTTTGTAGTTCAAGTGAACATCACGGATGTCCTAGGACACCAAACACAATTTCTAATAATTTATATTGAGGTGTTCTCTTTGGATCTACAGTTCTGTCTGCTCATTGTTAACCTTAATTTAACATTGATAAACATTCACTTTTTGTAATGGAGTGACATATCTGCAGTGTCTGTTTTAGGAATCTAGCTTTTTTTAATGTTTTTAACCCTGGTACTCTTGCTTTATGATTTTTTTGGGGTTAAGTTTTCAGAAGTGAAATGTAGTATATTAGAGGTGTGCACAAAACTATTTTGCATGTTCTCTCTCTCTCTCTTTTTTTTTTTGGCCTGTGTGAATTCACTTATTAGCAAAGTAAAACTCAGAAGAGGATGTTTAATACAGATCTTTCTGTGTACTTTTTTCATGTAACATCAAAAGAAACCTACTTGTATATGGCCACAAATAAAAGTATGAGACAAAACTAAATGCCTTGTGAAAAAGAAACAAAATTCACTTGCTCAATGACAATTTAATCACTTCATTTAAACAGACAGAGTTAGGTGGGCACCAGTGGTATACATCTGCAATCTTGGCCACTCAAGAAGCTGAGATCTGGAGGATCAATACTTACAGTTGCCAGGGAAAAAAAAAGATATTTTGTTTGTAGGCATTCCTTAAAAATAAAGGAATGGGTGGACACTAGTGGTTCATGCCCATAATCCTAGCTCCTGAGTAAGCTGAGATCTAAGGATCACAGCTCACCCCAGGCAGGAAACTCTGTGAGCCAGTTAATTTCCAATTAACCACCCAAAAGCCATATGTGGAGCCATGGCTCAAGTTGTAGAACACCAACCTTGAATAAAAAAGCTAAGGGACAGCACCCAAGTTCTGAGTTCAAGCCTCAGTACTGGCACAATAAGTAATAAATATCACAAATAGCTCAGAAGCATGAACTGAACAATTGGAGTTGGTGTCATTAACTTCTACCAACATTTCTGACTGCTTTATTGAGGATTTATGGGCAGAATAAAAGTTGTTCATTTGTTCATTCATTCACTCTTTCAACAAATATTTATTGGGAATCTACCAGGTTCTAGGAATTGTTCTGGACACAAAGGACATGATAGTATACTCCAAAGACAGTAACTCTGCTTCCATGGAACTCCCATGTTAGTGAATTGGAATCAGAGAAACAAGTAACTAACAGAGGGCATGTTAATTCTTTTCTTTTCTTTTTTTCTTAAACAATTATTGTTAAATAGTTGTACAGAGTGGTTACAATCCCACAAGTCAGGTTATGAATACGATGCATCTTGATCAATGTCATCCCTTCCATCATTCTCCAACATTTCCTTCCCCCTCACATCCCTACTGTCAAGTTATATAGTTCAATTTTTATATACTGTATGATGAATATAATGATTCATTTGCTCACTCTTTTTGTTGTATAAGTGGAAACATATTTGAACTATTTAAAGCTGTAGATAACACTGACATGAAGCTGGACATTCAGAGTTAAGGGTATAGCATTAGGAAGGAGTTCTGGATTAGATATACTGGAAGGAGGTTGTATACACTTTTCCCTTTAGGGAGTTCCAATGTGGAAACACTACTTAAAATATTGGTTACACTTCACCAATGTCCAATAATCTTTCTCTATATTCCACTCACATTTAAACCTTCAGAGAATTTGGACAGCACAAATGCTTTCTGATTTTTGTCCCAATAAACCCATCGTAAATTGGAAATACTGTGTATGAAAAAATGTATTGAATCTACCTAACCTACCAAACATCACAGCTTAGCAACACAGCACACTGTTGAGTATAGTTATTTCCCTAGTGATTGGGGTTACTAAGAGTTGGAACACACTGTTACTGCCTTGTATGGAGAGACAAGATGATTGTGCACATGGCTAGCTCATAAAACAATCAAATTCAAAAACTGAGCTAGAATTTCTAC